GAAGGAGATGCGCTAAAGGAGGAGAGAAGGCTGGGCGCTGGAGGGAAGCAGCCATCGCTGCCCAGCAGATTAGTGTAGACTTAGCAGGGTTAGTGTAGATAGCTATGAGTGACATTCAGAGTAGATCCTCGTGAGAGAAGAGTGTGTATGCATCGTGAGAGGAAGGGACTGAGACAAGGTCTGGTTATGGAGGACACTTACCTGAGCTAGAAGCAAGTGACGAAGGTGGCATTGATGTATCTGATGTGGGATTGGTATTGCGCTGAAGCGCGTTGACTCAGGGAACTGTGAACTCATTGTAATCATAGTTTTTGATAATATAAGTGACGGGTCTTGGTCCTATTCTCATCTACCTTTGTCTCGTGTGTGGCAACTGTGTCCATTGAGTGTGAAGACGATGTTTGATGTATGCACATCTGCGTGAGTTGGTCCCCAGGACCCATGCAATTATATGGGTTGCATTCAGTGTTGCATACCCCGACGGTTGACTTGTCGGCTGGTCTCTTGAAAAACTTTTCGTTTTGGGTCCAGAACCCCCAATAACCCCACAAACACCCCCATACCCGCCCCAATACCCTCATGAACCCCTCCAACGCCCCTAAACTGCCCCCCCAACACCCTCATACCCCTCCAATACCCCCTACACAGGTTTATAGTGGATCGCTGGTGTACATAACTTTTGTCCTAAGCTTCATGCAGTGATACGACGATCTGCATGTAAACAGACTGAGAGGGACAGTCACCTTAGGCCTAATACTGGTCGCCAAATACTGGTCGGCTGAAAAACGGTCGGCGGTCGGATTTGGCGGTCGGCAGGTATGCATCCCTGGTCTCATTGTCTGTATGATGTGCTCCTTCCGTCCTCTCTGCCTGCCAGCCCAGTCATAGATTCTTTGGCGACGGCGTCGGCGCTGCTCTCATTTCCGAGTAACAAGAAGCCTCCAGCAAAGGTGAGCAGGCAAGTTCTGTTTTTCCAGAGAAAGCAAGAATTGATTTGGGTCTCAAGGTTCTGTTTTTTTTTTTTCTTTTCTTCGGGGAGGGGAGGGGAGTGGGGGCAGAATTGATTTGGGATACAGGTTTTTTTCATGGTTGTATCTGACTCTTACTACGGCTATGTCCTTTCTAATTTCGAAATCTGATACATTCCTGTGAACTTTCCATAACCAAAAAGTACAAACGACGCACAGCGTACTGACACTAGGACTTTCCTGAACGTATCTTACCGCAATTACGGCCTGCTTGGGATGTATCTGATTGCAATCATGCCCAGAAAATACATCCGAAAAGGCCGTATTCAGACGTTTGAAATATGTCTGAACAACACACACAGCATACTCACATTGGGATGCCTGGATGTATCTGATAGCAATCACGACCAATCCTGAACCAAGGAATAAGTCCAAAAAGGCCTGTCGTGAGCACGCCCTCAAGTAGTTGGATCCCGTCGATCGAACTGGGACGTAATTCCATCCGGATACACCCAGCATAGGCCCTCAGTCCTGTTTGTTGTGTTTCTCATGGACTCACTTCACATCTTTTTTTTTTTTTTTTTTTTTTCCCCTCCCCTTTCATCGCTCCCGTGCATTGAACTTGGAACATCAAGTCAGAGCGTGCAAGCTGTGTAGTGTGTACCAGGGTTGCCGGCGTTCGGGACGGGCTGAACACCCGAACCTGAACGCCCGAACGTTTGGGACCCCCTCTCGACGCGTTCGGACGTTCCTGTCTCTTATACACATCTAGATGTGTATAAGAGACAGATAAGCGACTGTAGACCAGCCATAAACTGGCTA